AAACCCTTTTTTACATCTACATGATTTTAATTTTTTGGTACTAATTTCTCGGTATTTAATAATTACATTGGATCCTAATTAATTTAAAATAGTTAAACCCTTATTTTGGTCTCTGAACTATTGTACGGACCCCCAATTTGGTTCCTGAACTATTGTACGGACCATTGAGTTGGTCCCTAAACTATTGTACGGACTCCTAAGTTAGTCCCTAAATTATTGTATGGATGCTCAATTTGGTCCCTATTGTTTACCAATTTAACCCCAACTTGGTCCTTCTGTTAAATAATAGCTCAGGGACCAAATTGGGGTGAAATTGTAAACAGTAAGGATCAAATTGGGGGTCCGTACAATAGTTCAAGGACCAACTTAGGCCAAATTATAAACAGTGGGGACCAAATCGGGGGTCCGTACAATAGTTCAAAGACTAAAATGGGGATTTAACCATTTAAAATTGAGTCACGTCAAATTCCACTGAGAGAAACTCTCTCAGCGCATGCTTCTCTATTCAAACTCAAAATTTTAATTAAGGAGAACTGAACTCTTTTCACCCAACAGATCATTAGTTTTACATCTACATGATACTTACAATGAGGCCATGCCTAGCCGATCTCCATTTTCGAGATATTTACTCCACCAACCATGTCATATTTTGATTATTTCACCAAGTAGATTACGATAAATGCCTTATTAAAACTTATAAATATCCCATGAGATTCTCTTACTATATGTACTTGGATCTAACTTGAGACTTTTTCTTCACTTCTCCTGAATAAAATAAAATATTATTAACTTAGACATTGAAGTATTTACCTAAGAACCAACCTTAAGGTTTTGTAAGTTTTCGAAGGAAATTAAAGATTTTAGTGCATTTACAAAAATAATTGCATTTCGCACTTTTCTACTTTTATGGAGTGTTTGATTAGAGAAAATTTTTCCTCCTTAATTTTTTTATAATTTTTTTAAAAATTTTTTTAATAGAATTATTTTCATATTTTTATATATTAATGTTATAATAAAAAATAAAAGTGATATTTTTAATATTTATTTTTATATAATTTCTAATTTGTAAAATCTTCTTCTCATTTATTTTAAAAGAAAAAAAATTGTAACTTTTTTTAAGGTTAAAACCCTTTTTTGGTCCCTCAACTATTGTACGGACCCCCGATTTGGTC